GAATGCAGCAGCTCTGCTCCTCTCCCAGAGTTTTCACTGAAACGCTTGTAAGAATGAAGCACCATGTACCCGTCAGTGTTTTCTGAAGGACGTGAGGGAAAATGTAGCCGCTATAACAATATCCATAATAGTCCATTCTGGTAATTAACTTTATTTCCTAGTCGTAATTTCACTGTAACAATGATAATGAATAAAACATACAATTACTATAAATAATTAATATAAATAACAGTTGTTTATAAGAAATTTGGTTTTATTAATGAATGAATGCTTTCTAATACCTGCCTATTGCACAGTAAGGAAAACCAACAGCAATGCTTTTTTGCTCCCCAAGTCAAGCGTCCTCATTGCCTCTCCATTGACACCCTTGAATGGCTTCTCTTTTGAGTTTGTCGATTCCTACAAATATCTGGGCTTTTGGTTGGAGACAGTAATCCTGAACTTAAACACGCATAATTTTAAGTTCTAACAAAGAAATTGAAATTCCCTCTTGGCCTTTTCCCTTTTTCAGACTTAAATGTTGTTTTTCATTTCTTCCGTAAAAGGTTGGTCTCGTGGCTTATTCCTGTCCCCAGCTGGACTACGGTGATACCATTTATAGATTTGCCTGGTTCCACTGTTTTGGCCAAACTTGACCCACTCTAACCATGCTGCACTGCGATATATCAAATTCTCCCTATTATTATTTATATATTTTTTATATAATATAGGAACTCATCATTGCACACTGTATAGCTAACTTGATGGTCTCACTTACTATGCGTAGACTGCACAATTGGTTTTTTATAAGCCATTTTAAGGTAAGCTATTCCACTCTACATATGTGCCAGATTTGCTCCAGTTTGTCTTACACCTCCAGATCCAGTGCTGATACGGTTCCAGGGTTTTGCTGTGCGGACTGAGGCTGGGAAAAGGAGTCTTTTTTATTATGGTCCTTGGTCTTGGAATGACCTTCAATCAAGCCTCAAACTGACGGCACTTGTCTCAATAGCATGTTTTAAGTTGAAGTTGTCTGAAGTCCTTACCACCAGCTGCTCTTGCAGTAATAAGTAGTGCACCTTCCTTACTGTCCTAATGTGCACAATGTAGTGACTGCTTTTTTGTCTTCTTAGTTATGTTCTCTGTATTTTATATGTCTGTGTTATGTGTTATGTGTAACGTTGCTGCCTTCTTGGCCAGGTCAGCATTGAAAATGAGATTGTATCTCAATGCTTTTATCTGGTTAAATAAAGGTTAAATAAAAAAAATGAAAATAATATAATAATGTAAATAGATAATTTACAAACCAATTATCAACCAATTGTTATAAATATGTTCCATCTTTGTAAATAATGTTAAAGAAGGTTTACAAATCATTAAAATACTTAGTATAGTGTATGTTATGATATGTGCATCACATCAGAAGTACTAATAGAGTAAAGATAATTATTGTTATTTCATTTTTGATATTAGTAAATTAACTTTTAATCAAAGTTGAATAACCATACCTTTCTAGTTATGTTAATGACAATTATAATAAAGTGAAACCCTGGTTAGAGGTTAACTGTTGTTCTATCTATCTGTCATTACTTCAAACAAAGTCACATTTCCATCTGTTTTCTTTTTGAGATTAACGTCATGGGGAAAGAGGAGATGGTCTCTACATCGTACACACACTCACACACACACTCTGACAAACCTTTGTGAAGTGGTTTGGGTGTGGGGGGGATCTTTAATGCTCTTTTTACAGTCCCATTAATCCCTCTGTTCACAATTTCACGCACAGCTTGGGCCTTGGTGTTATTTTCACAACCTTTCACCACTAATTCCTGTGAATCCTGAAACAGAACACCTTCCTCTCCTCCTCTACGTGTGTGTCTCTGTTTTTCCAGGCAAAGACAGCTTTATCTCTGACCCCCCTCATCAAAGCAGGCTGAAGGGGAAAGAGGGATGAAAAGCCCCCCTGGACTGGGGGCTGCATCTTTACGAGACAGTGAGCTCAGGACATGCCGCTGTCTGGAAGTGACTGTGTCTCTGATGGAGTGACACAAAGCCGAATAAATAGGAGAACGTTTATCTGATGTTGAACTGTGTGTGGTTACAGTAAAACACACACTTTAAACAATGTCACTACGTTGCCAGATCCCAACTATGGCTGAGCAATATCGACCAAAAATAACTTAACGAGATAACTCACTTAACTCACAGTTATTAATAAATAATGTTACTTATTGAAACAGAATGTATATTTCTTGTGAGAAATGCATTGCATCCTAAATTATATCCTTACAATTAACATATTAAGTATTTCTTTTTAATTGAACATATCAGTAGTTGTAAAATGCTCAGCTCAACGTATCAGTAGAATGACAAAAAGCTCTTAAATCTTTCAACAATATCTGCTTTAGCAAAAATCCAATGAGGATTATTTGGACCTTTGGATAAAGTTAGATATGGTCAGACTTTGAAAAAGTCAGCAGTGACTTCAATAATGAAACTAGTCAGTGGCGGCTGGTGGAAAATATTTTAGGTTGAAAAAAATTGAGAAATAACCCCTTAAATTATGACTTCTGGTGATGTTAGAGGGGGGGGGGGGGAGGACAAATTGAGGCTTAAAAATATGAGAAGACTGATCCATACCTCCAGAATCTTCAGTGTGGTTAGCTATGAGTCTTCCAAAACCTCCAAACACCTTGTCCTGGACATAGTTTCTACAGCATAAACTGTGCAACAGTAGCCTACAGTAGGCCCACACAAAGTGCAGAACACCGGGGATTTGGGAACACTCAAAATGATTTAATTCCCATTTAACCTGTTAAGGGGCTTTTTCCCCCCGTTTTTTTTCTCACGAAACTGTGTCTCAGGGCTTCTTAAAATGTAATAAACTATTCATGTGTCCTACTCATTTAACGGGAAGAAATGCTAACTGATGATATGAACCATGTTTACCGAAACAAAACACAAGTCTCATAAGAAGCTAACCTTTTGCTAAATGAGCCCTGAGCGAAAAAATGCTAAGGCACTCTACAGTAGGTATAAATGGATCGATATATTTATCGGATATGCACAAACAAGCTTAGCTAACAAGCTGAGATTCCACAGATTCTAGAAATATAAATATCATCACTGAACGATCAGAACTCGCGACAGGGGAAGCAAATCCAGACATCACACGACGTAGCTTTAGGTAGCAAAACACGGAGATATGCTCACCTTTTGCTATTATTCGGATCAAAAACGCGGCTGAAGGTTAATCCATAGGTTAATCCAATGTGTCTGTCACTTTGAAAAAATGATTGATAATCCATAATTCCATTTTTATATCAAAAACGGAGTTTTCATATTAGCTGCTAATGATAGCTTCTAGAGTGTATGACAGCTTCCTGTTTTGTCTCCTTGGATACGAGTCCAAACAACTCACAGACTGCACCGGACGCTGACGTAGGCGCCCTGTGACCATCAGATTTGACGACGCAGATTGGCTGAAATTATGTTTCGGCGGCGTAGTTTAAAGATAGCAACAGTTGGCTTCTGCTGCACTTGCTGCACTCTCGTCTGGGCGCTGTGCATAGCGCACAGACAAGAGAGGGTAATGATACACGGGCAAGGCCAGGCAGGAAACATGCCTTATCAGTAACTTTAGACATCGTAACACAATTTTAAACGATATTTGATTGTAGATTATACATTTTGCTGATACCTACGATGTCTAAAGTTACTGATAAGGCATGTTTCCTGCCTGGCCTTGCCCNTCCGAAAATATTAATAACGAGTAACTCTGAACTTCTCTCTCACTCTCTCTGACTCTCTCTTCGCGCGCACACAGCATAGGCTACAGAACACCGAAGGTGGTCTTGCGCTCAGGGGTGGTGGAAATAAGTCACAGTCTGTGCAGTCATTTGTTCCTTAGCAACAGCTTGTGAGAGCAGCGCATTAATTGGTGTTCGTTTGAATGTTTGTCGACAGCCTCCGTTGATGGTCCATGCGAAAAAGTTTTGTTTTTTTACCTGTGTAATGTCAGCAAGCGGCTCCTCGTCCTGGACCAGCATCTGGGAGAACTGCAGGCCCTGCTCTGGGCTGATGCGCATGACGTTCCTCAGCAAGAAGATCCAGTCTGGAGTGTAGCCCACCTACAGGAACAACAACAGATTTAAACTACATATCCATACCATTGAGGTTCACCATTTTACGGAGACATGTGAACTGCTCTATCAAAATCACTCAGATATCCCAACGGATAGATAATCATGAATTTATGTCATTTATGTTTTGGTTATTTTGTGGTTTTGGTTGATTTTAAACAAATTCTTGGCTTTAAAAATATTCAAATATTGTTGGCACATCCAGAAGATACATTCGTCGTTGAAAAGTGTAAAGGAATATTTGCAGGACAAACACAATAAGGATATTATTGGAAAGCTAAGAATATACTGTTTCCAACGGTGTGTGTAACTCTAGATGTGTTCCGTAGTCGATGTGACTGATTTTGATAGAGCAGGTCACAAAGGTAAAGACAACAGCAAATAACGACGCAGCAAAAGCCTAGTCGGATATTAAATATAAAATAAAGTCAGGCAGCGTCACAAACCTTCTTGGCGTAGAGGACAATCTTCTGGAACTGTCCGGTCTCTGCAAAGCACTGGATGACCTTGTTGGGGACGTTGGCCCTGAGGTAGACGCTGAGGGCCAGAGTGGGATCTACAGACTTCACCAAGTCTCCGAGCTCCTCAGAGCACTCCAGCTACACACACACAAACACACGTGTTTCTTCCCAACAAAAAAATGTATCTCTTGCTTTGGGACACATTGTTTAGGGTTGGGGTTACACCAGATTCAGAGACAGTTTCATACCAGAGGCAATAAGACTGCTAAACAACTGAACTGTTGAAACAACATCCATAACATTCATCTGTTTGCAACTTATTTATCTAACATATCATATTCCAATTACTTGTATATAGACTCTTCTTGCACTATTTCTATTCTATTTGTAGTTACTTGCACTTTTGTATCTGTTTTATTGTGTTGCACTGTGGAGGAGCCTGTGACCTAAGATTTGTATTGTCATATCTACACTGTAGCGATGCACACATGACAATGAAAGCCTTGAATCTATAGAATTTCCAAAAAGCAGGTGTGTTTCCATACATTGACAAATCAAACACTGCACACACACCTTGTCCTCTTTCAGCCACTTCTCCAGGAGCTGCTTGCGGCCCTGCTGCAGGACGGGCCTGCACAGCTCCAGAGACTCAAACTTGTTCAGTTGGCCTTGGTCCAGCAAGATGCCAAAGTACTGGAGCAGCGGAGACGTCTGGCCCGGCTGGGCGGGAACACTCTGGAAACGACGGATGGTGTCTGGGGTCCGCAGGATCCCCTGGGGAGAAAACAGGAATGGAGGTAATTCAGTAAGAGTAGCATTAGGTTTGGGAAGTAACTGATAACATATAACAGGATTATCAGGATCCAAAGGTAACTGTATCCCCCTAGTTACATTAAAACATACTTAATCAGATTGCTGTTACATATCTAAAAAATGTCTATATGTTTATTTCTGCTTTTCAAACTGTAGTGTGTGCTTATGTGTTTCATTGTTGGTGTATCGGCTACTGCCTGAATATGCTGAATGAAAGGCAGCTTTTCCTGTCAATTAAAACATGTTTGATCCTAAATATCTTGGTTTCTGCTTTTCTAAGGTCACATTGTTCTGTTGTCTTACATAACACACTTCAGTCAAAAAATACATCTTATTGATATTTATTTTCTCTTGGATTTCTTGCACTTGTCATTGACGGGTAACTAGTAATATGTTTAAGGTACCCCTCCCAACCCTGACGGTGGCAGTACCTTGGGTGCGTTGGCCGCCACCTTGGCAGCCTCGGAGTAATTCCCCGCTGCAAACAGAGTGTTGAATTTGCGGGCGAACAGCTCCTCAGCACCGGCCAGGTTGTTGCGGACGGCCATGCGCAGCGCCAGGTCCGGGTTCTGGAGCACGTTGGTGATGTAGGGAATGATGTTTTCCTCCTCCACGCACACAGACAACACCTAGAGAAACACATTATAATATGCACTCTTTATTATCTGTACATAACAGAAGATAAGTCATTTGACACCTGCCTGGTACAAACAGTGCACTCTATTGACGCTCAAATCTCTGGATGCAAAAATAGATTTAAGTGAATAAGATCCTAAGACCTGTACTTGTCACCTTCCTAAATTACAGGGAGGGATTGCCTGGTGTAGTGTTACGTGTGTGTGTCTGTGTGTGTGTGTGTGTGTGTGTGTTACTGAGAGCTGTACAGGCTCGATCTGCAGATAAGAGCACAGAGCAGTAACAGGATTAGATTGTGTTTGCTTGGCAAGGCTTAGCCATCCTGCTGTGACTGTCACGAGATGCCCGACAGCGAATATGCTGCTGGACTCGGTTATTTTCAGAGAATTCTCTGTCAAGGTCACACGACAACACCCAAGGACACATGCTGAGAGACAGAGGGCTCAGGGAAAATGAATAACAAACAAATATCAGAAATAACATCAAAGAGTCCCTATTCTGATTTTTAGGGTTTTTTCCTTTCCTGTAGTGTGTTCTCAAGGTTTGTGTGCATGTAAATGGTCTTGATCCCACATATAGAGAGGCGAAGTCCCTCCCTTTCCGGGGGATCTCCATGGGACCTTATTTCGAAATACTTATGTATTGAAGTCAATAGAGAGAGAAAGCTTATCTTTGGATCCCGTTTGAATTTTGCCACGAATTACACATATGATGTTTGTCAATTTAAAAGATAATTTTGCAAGTCAAAACAATTCAAATGTGTCTTAAAACTGTGGAGTAACACTTTTTTTGTGTGAAACCGCTCAATGAACTACATCTCCCGTATCGCACCACACACCAAGACGGCCGTCACGTTGGCACATTTCACTTCTTTCTTTCAGAATGAGGCGAAAAGTATTAAAAGAGGTGAAAATCACTCCAAGTCTGGGCATGTTGAGAGCTGTACATACACACAAGGGGAGTTAGTCAGTTCCGTAAGAGCCAGCATGCAGGACCGGGACTCTGGGATTTGTAGTTGCGTATTTTTCATAGTCCTATATTTCAACAGTTTTACAACAAACTGTGACTTTTTTGACATGGAAATTATTTTTTAAGATTGACAAACATCATGTGTGTAATTCATGGCACAATTCAAACGGGATCGAAAGATAATCTTTCTCTCTCCATTGACTTCAATGCATAATTTTTCCGAAATAAGGTTCCATGGGTCGGAAGTAGATGGGCGGGACTTCGCCTCTCTATATCCTACAAACATTTGTTAACTGATACCTGATGCCATTTCATCCAATCAATCCAAATAAGAAGCAGCCTGCAGGAAGGAATTGCTTTTGATAGTTCGTTCAACATCTATGTCAGCGTACCTGTCCTTTCCTGTTGACTCCGATGATGCCGGCAGTTGGCTCATGGGGGGCGGTGACGAAAATGGTCTCCCCGCTGATCCGGTTCATGTAGATACACGTTCCAGTCTCCAGGTCATACAGGTGGATGTAGCCGTATTTGGTGATGAGGAAGACGACGTCTTGCTTGGAGCTGATCTACATGTGCAGAAAGAGAAATCTGGTTAGGAAGTGTAAAGGAGAAATTAAACCAAGGCTAAGTAATGCCAGGTCAGAGAGGGAGGTCACACCCTGAGGGGAGTTTTGGAGAATCTTTTTTGTTTCTAGAAATAACGATGATGCACCACAGGAGAGTTTTGACCCATGTGGCAAATAGTAGTTTGAAAAAAGCCAACAGGCTCTACGTGTCTTCTTGGAAGTGGTTTTGTTACCTGCATGGCCACAGGGAAGTCGTTCTGTGCTTCTGGAGGAAAGAACACATCGACAGCTTTCTTTGGGAACGGCTGGTTCCCAGTGGGCGGGGTCCCTACTTCAATGATATGCAGCTGAAGGTGAAAAGAGATGGAGGCAAAAGGAGAAGCAGTCAGGATACAAGAGCCTCTGAAAAGTTCCTTATACACATTTGAAATGAGTTTTATCCTGAGCTCTTTATCTCTGCAGGTGTCAGCGTTTAGTCTCGGCAGTGCTGTCATTACCTTTCCTCCGGCCTGCCCTCGCACCGCAAAGCAGAACAGGGTGGATTCTTCAGTGTTGCCCTCCATTTTAAACTGTGCAAAGCCGGCGGCATGCCCCTCGATGGGCTGAGACACCTTCCTGTCCACAGAGTACAGCTGCATGGCTCCAACCACACGGTTTTGCTAGGAAAAGAAAAAATCCACATTAAGGCGTTATTGTTGCATTAAGATCCTTTTCAGTTGCATTGATTCTTTAACACCTCTGCGTGCGGCACAAATATTGGTTCCGAATTATAAGGCATTTTTTTCTGTTAAAATAGACATTATTCAAAGTTATTCACAGTTTGTCAAACGATATCAATGCCGATGTTTATTTTATTTGAATTTCTTATTTTTTTATGAGCCAGGAAAACAAATATCCGTTTTCATTACGAGACATTTTTTATGGTAATGAGATATATTTTATACCATTTAAAAGGGTAGGGTAGGTAATTTTGGAGAAACCAGCTCGAGTGCGCTAGAATTTAAAAGTATGCAGCCGAAAAAAATCTGCCCCTTCCTTCAGACTTCCTTACAGAGCCCCTCCTCCAACACACACGAACGCGCACATGACCAATGAGGGCACGAGATAAGTTTGTGCACAGATGGAAGGCTGACAGGCAGGCCATCCAGTTATTTTAGCCGGGCCGTCGAAAATGATTGGTCGTGCTTTTTACAGCACTACGGCTTCCACAGATGACATTTTTTTATGGATTTTTTGTCAAAGCACTTAAGATATTCATTGCTATCGAGATGTTAAGAGCATTCCATGCAATATAACAAAAAGTGTATCTCGAGCCGGTTTCTCAAACTTACCCACCCCACCGTTAATGTCAGCAAAACATTACAATTATTATTTACAATGGACTACGCTTAGCTAACAGACTAATTTCCACCACTCATGGACCACACCCACCTTATCTTTTGAAAAACTGGGTGACATACTGTCGCCCTTTAGTCCCTCTCTCTTGTCTTACTCTCCTTTCTTTTCTTTCTTGAAAGCCTGACTTTGTTAGTCGTTGAGACATCGTACACACGTAAGTACTAGCATCCCTC